AAATCTGTATCTCTATCTGGATTTATGGTGAGAGGTATATCTTCATTGAATTAGTGTTAGAGTCCCTCATTAGTGGCAAAACCAGTTGCCACACGTGTGTGTGTGAGTGTGTGTGCGCGCGCGCATGCACGAAACATCTCGGTTTCCTGCTCTTTGTTCACTGCGTCGGCGCTAACAGTAATCCTGCGCACACTCAATTAGCAGTCTTGCTGGCAGCTACCCGTAATGACACACACATACTTATGAAAGCAGACATTCTGATTAACATTTCCATCAGTGATTTATGCCCAATTTATATAATGATGCCATCCAGGAAAAGAAATAAACAGAGCAGGAGTGTGCTTTTTAAATCTGCAGTGCATGACTGGCTGCCGTGCGTGGCTGGAGACTGGCTCGTTCAGTTGTTTACGTTTGACTTGTGAGCGCGCGCGCACACACACGCGCGCACATTTATTTTTCTCTCTCCTTTAGACACAAAGACCATCAACTTGAGAGTCTGACACAGACTTTAACCTGCACTTTCTCACACTCTCTCCCACATACAAGCACGCTGAGTTTAGGTTTCTTCTAAGATTTCGTGTTTCTAATTGTGTTTTGGATTCATTCGCAGTGACACAAGGAGACACTTTAAAGAGTGTAGACCATTTTTGTTTGGCTGATTAAAACAGCAGAAATGTGCATTATCTCTAATTAAGAAATGCCAGTCCTGGAACAAACGCTTTTCAGTGTTACAGACACACAAACTCAGTGAGGTCGCACCTTGATGTTGCCAAAGAATGTGTTTAATATTACGATACATTTTCTGTCATGACTCGTGAAAATAGTAAGTTCAGTCACACGAACATCAGTTTCACACCAACAACTAAAAGGTGGAGTGATGTCCACACTGTAAATATCCACAAGGAACATAACGAGAAATACTCAAGGTATCTGGTGTGGTGGCTTATTAGATTACTGGACCGTTGATTTTCCTAAACTCACCTCATCCTGTCCAGTCAAACAAGTTAGCCGTCCTTTAAATTTAGTGTTTGTTTATTGATCATTTGATCGACACATTATTTAATATTGCATCATGTATTAAGATATAAGGGGACATTTTAAGTGCATTAATTGCTACATTTAAGTTAATTTCCTAATAGAGAGCGACAGTTTTGACTTTTCAGTGCCATGAAGTATTTAATGGACCATCCTGACCTTTATAAGTAATCGATGCTGTTTCTGAATTTCTGTTTTTACTTCACAGTTGTGTTCTCCACAAAATCACACACAATTCCTTTAAAGACTTCACAGAGACACTTTTTACAGTGAAATTAGTAAAGAAAGAATTTTTAGACACCTTTAAAAATTAACAGCAATACAAATAAATTATCTTCTTAGTGAGATTTGTTAATTAGAGTTCAATTCAATTCAATGTTATTTATATAGCGTCAAATTACTTAGAAAGTAACCTGTTTTAAAATTGTATCTTTAGACACTTTGTTACTAAAGTGTAAATTGATGGATTTATTTATAGGGCTTTTCAATTCAATTCAATGTTATTTATATAGCGCCAAATCACAACAAGGCGCTTCATAGATACAGAGAAAAACCCAACAATCATATGACCCCCTATGAGCAAGCACTTTGGCGACAGTGGGAAGGAAAAACTCCCTTTTAACAGGAAGAAACCTCCGGCAGTGAGAGAAGGATTAATTAGAGTTGAACTCAAGCACAACAGACGTTTTTTCATATCAGAAGAAACAGGAAAACACATATGTTTTAACTCGTGTAGTAGCTTATTGGCTTTAATGTACATGCACCGATTCTGCTTATATGTAGCCCCCTGAGCCAGGAATCACGCTGACTAACTGTACCTAACTCACTGTTTATTTATTTTTGTCAGACAGTTAGGTTATTTTTATCATGCTGCCCTTCTTATAGGTTGATCCACTTGACTCTAAGCCCTGGTTATGAAAGCAAGAGCAGGAAAAACACAAGTTTTTTATGATTTATGACGATAATTTAATCTGGATTAAACACAAACTAAATGGATCAGCACCAGAAAACTCCAAAAACAACCTGTAAGTGTTCAGTAAAGTCCTTCACAAACACCTCATAAGTGCAGTGTTTTGTCCAGTACCAGCGCACACGTTCCTGTACTCATCGGCATTTCTTCACACATTTTCCTCTCTATGGCTTTCACACACACTTTCCTCTTCTCAAATAACCATGCTCATCAGGGCCCAAAGGGGCATCCATTTTTCAGTGTTGCCATGACAATCCCAGCGAGGAGGGGTGTTTAGTTTGACTGGTGCAGTCACGTTGATAAATGACCCTCTTATTGCTGGCTGTCGCCCAGGGATTACTGTATACACTCTCTCTCCCTCGTTTGCTCCCTGACACACACACAATCACGCCGACTCTCTTTCCCCCAGTGGCTAGCTGTCCAGCTGATACACACACTCAGATCACTTTACATGCTAATTGGCCGACAAGACCTTTAACAAATAGCTGTCTAATGAGTCGTTCCTCTCCACTGCAGGGCAGGGTCTTCCTGAGTCTACATAACCACGTGATGGGAAGAATGCGGAATCAAGACGCAACTCAGGGGTCAAAAGGTCACATTGGCTATGTATAGAAAGCCCGATTGATTGAAATAAGAGCATGATACCCATTTCAGACAGCGGCACAGGTTAAACCAACATCCATATTGATCAGATTGCATTATTGAAGCTGAGTCAGAAGCTGTCCAGGTTATCCCACCTCCAGTAGGAGAGAAAACAATTGGGTGCCTTTGTCTGGAAGTCAAAGACTGAAAAACTAAACATCAAAGTCTTTGTTTTACTCTGGTTATAGATGCCACCATGAGTATCTATCAGTTTCTGTCCAACACATAATCTCTATGGAAAGTAAAAATCAGTGTGTTCCATATATTATCCAGAGCACCATTTACACATTTATGCACATTTATACACATTTATGCATATAAATCACAACAACAGTTGCCTCAACATGCTTTACATTTGAAGATAAAAACTCTACAGCTGCATTCATTTCCACATTACCGAGCTGGAGGCAGAATTTATATTATTACCCATTTCTGCTCATCTAAATGAACCTGTGCCGGCATTCATGGCAATAAAATTAGGTGAAATCAGTTACTCTCACCCTGCAGAGCACCATCTAATATCTCACCATCTCACATAAATAGAAAAATGGGCAAGTGTGTCTACAGGCTCACAGTTTTTTCCAGGCCATTTCTCTTTGACCGAGAGCCCAAGCCCCCATTCCCGATCATAAAGCTATTAGGCTTAGAGGGGAAAACATCCTCCACGCTACAGTAAACCAGAGAGGACCAAGGATAATGTATCTCTCTGCTGGCACCCCTGAAAGTCATCAATTATTCATACACGGGCACTCAACAACCTGAAATAAACACATACACTCACCATATACAAACACATACATGTTCACCAGGCACTGAGACAACCAGTCAATTCATACCTTCAGAGGCGGAGAGAAACAGATTAAGTACCTCCTAATTTATTTGTCCTCACTGCGGCGGAGTTTGCGTTTGCTGATACTGGAGCATTGCTTTGCATCCATGGGTCCGCTGTTGAGGTGCATTGTGCTTATTTGCACGAATAATTGCCAAAAAAGGGCAGACCACACACCTGATGTCAGAAATTAATATTTGACTGTACCATAGAGTCATAGCAGAGGCAGTCCATCAAAGTCAAAAACAGAGGGCTCATTGGTAAAGGTGATAATTTGCGCCAACATGTAGCATTCGCACACCGAGACACCGAGCACAAGACGGCATTAGCAAAGATATGCAGCAAGATTTTACCAGCAGTCATCATCTACTGCATTAGAAGATAAACCCTACCGTGGTGTTTCACAGGCTGTTGTAAAACTAGACATTTTTATAAACCTAAGAAACCAACAACTAAACCACAATCACTCGAGGAAGGTTTGTACAGCATGTAAGTATGTAAGGGTCGTTATAATTTGGTTTCATCAAAATCAGATCAGTAGGTCAGCCCTGACACTCTATTAAAGCTAAAAATACATACTTTTAATTACAGAGGCCTAAACGATAGATTTGGTCTGAAAATACTGTGCAGATTATGACCTGCAAGCGAGGAACATAGATTCAGATTTATCAAATTTCTTCCCGTGCTTATTTTTCAGGTGCCTCGATATTGAGCGAATCTGTAAATGTTAATGTGATGTGGGCCAGCACATCATTACCACTGCCTACCATTTGTGCACTGACTGCGTTAGACTGAGGTATGTGTGCAGCGCTCAGGAGAACTCTTTATCACTGCTTTCCTTCCACGGTGCATTTGCCCTACTGAAAGGAAACCCACTAAAAAATTAAGACGTGATATTATAGTAAATAAAAAGAGAAACAGAAGAAAATGGATTAAAAACAAGAGAAGAAGTTTTTTGAAGTTTTACGATACATCCTTTTTGAAAAGATGTAGATTTTTTAAAAAAAAAAGTTAAACATATAACTGGAAAAACGAGATGTGGAGAAATGATGCTGCTGAGCAGCAACTGAATCCTGAAACTCAAGTGGATCAATCATGTGTGCATGTTCTCTGAGGTTAAACAGGCAACAGATGAAGAGAGAAACCACAACAGAATATACACTGACACAAACAAGAAATAATATGCAACGTGTACTGTGAAATGCCTCAACAGAGTGGGCTATACTGATAATTAAATCATCCACTGTAGACCCTGTTCACTCTGATACTCCATCCTTGTTTTCTCGTTTTTGCCCTTTAACAATTACACACGTGAGATTATATTCCTGCAGATACTGATATGTTGACCTATAAAGCAAACCTTTACCCAAACTCATAATTAACATAGATTTAAATAGCTCCTTGTTTATTTAAATGAAGAGCAGCTATATGCCGTCACTTTGAAGGATTCCCCTCATCCTACTGTGTGTCTATACACATTTGGTCCTCGGAGGTGCAGTAGAATATAAATGCATATGTACTCACAGCCTCTCAGTGCCTCTGGGGATGTTTTTGGGCACAGTGTGGATCCCCAGGCCATGGCAGTCCACCGTGTTGCTCAGGCAGCTGCAGGGAGTGGGGCACGCCTCTGCACCTCCGTGACCTGCCAACAGCACCGTAACACTCCACGCCAACACCACCTGCATCCAAGATTGAGGAGCCCGGCCTGTGTCCACTGCGATCGTCCCGCAGCCTCCTGACCCAGCTCCATCCCCTCTTTTTCCAGCAGGCATTCTGCTCTCCTGCGGAGCTCCCCAACACTGCAGAAACCAGCCAACAGATCCTACCCTCTTCCTTCTGCCCGGGATGACTGACCAGTACTATCTCTTTACAGAAGTGAGAACCAGCAGGAGAGTGTTTAAAGGGGCTGAGACAGCAGCATAGCCAAGTGAAGTTCAGCTCAAACTGAACGCCTGCCACTTGATCCTGGAGTGGCCTTTCAGGGAAATAAAGGAGGAGGGAAAAAATACGAGTATGTCCTCTTCTTCTACTTGTCACCAGCTTTAGAGCTCCCTCCAATTGGCTTCTCTTCTTCTACTCTCTCTCTCTCTCTCTCTCTCATGCAGCTGTACAGTGTGCTCGCCTCTCCCCTCTACTTTTCATTGAGTCATTGTGCACTGAACAGTGAGCCACTAGGAAAAAAAAGAAAAAGAAAGGGGG